AGATAATCACAGTCATTATCACTTCTACCAATATCAGTAGTAATAGCAACACGACAATTAATATGAGTAAATAAATTTGATGACCCAAAAGAGTCATCTCGTGTTTTAGAACCCAATTGGGATTCCGAGGTCTTAAAAATCTCATTTTCTTTCTCCTCGATTTGCCTGCGCAGTCCGGGCGCGGTTCCAGAAAGCCTTTATGTGAAAATTTGAGAAAATATTAAGTTTTTCCTTTAAAATTGATTTAGGTTGACTTCGGTCAACATTTTGAGTAAACGGACCCGGACTCGTGATTTGACGGTCCCGGAGGGTCCGTAGAAAGATATGGGACTTGGGCGTATGCTCAGAATTGAATTCCGAGGTCCCTAGTCCAAGGAATGAATTTTTGAAGAAAATTATTAAACTAAAAATATAATGGTTTTTAGAAATTTAATAATGCTTGATCTTGTTGGTATCAGGCCCGTATTTTGGTTCCGGAGCCCGGTACAGGTGTAATATGGTATTTAAGTCATGTCTAGGGGCTACGCGGACGTGGCAAGCGGCTCGCGCACACGAAGGTTAGGGGGGGATATACCTTCGCGAACGCGTAGTGTGTCTCGCGAACACGAAGGTTAATAGGACCGCTGTTTCGCGAATGCGACAGGCTTCTCGCGAATGCAAAGAAGACCTGTCCAATGATTTTAAAACAGAACCTAAGTCGGGATTTAAATTTCATATTTTCTTCCATATAACTCGTCCTTGGGCGATTTTTGAAGAGAGATTTCAACACCAAATCATAGGTTTGTGTTTTTAAACTCATTTCTTTCAATTTCCATCAACAGCCATTAGATTTCTAGGCCTAAATCTTGTTCTTTAAGGGTATAAATTTGGGATTTTGGGAGAATTGAGAATTTTACAAATTTGGAAATTTAGACCTCTATTTGGGGTCGGGTTCCGAAACTAATTACATATTTGGGCTCGTGGGTGAATGGGTAATCGGGTTTGGTTCAAACCTTGAGTTTTGACCAAGCGGGCCCGGGATCGAATTTTGACTTTTCGAGGAATTGTTGGGAAATCTATAATTGTGTATTAGAATTGATTTCTTTGGCTTTAATTGATGTTAATAAGTTAATTATGAATAAATTCGGGCAGATTGGAAGTGGAAACTAAGGGAAAAGCGATATTTGAGGCTTGAGTTTGGCCGTGGAATCGAGGTAAGTGTTGTGGCTAACCTTAGCTTGAGGGATTAGGTATTGTTGCCTTATTTGCTACATGTTTATTTGTTAAGTACGACGTATAGGTGAGGTGACGATTATCTATACGTTGTTGTCGGGTCATAGCATGTGAGTGAGTCTTATACTTGTGACCGTTGTGTTCCTTTATTCGTACCGTTCTTGCTTAAACTAGTTATCATTCATGTTAAAGAGGTTTTATTATGTTTTTTCCTGGCTTTTGGATATTGGTTGAGTATTGGCTCAAGTTGAGGTTCATGTTGTGAAGTTAAGTGATGGAACAAAGTTGTTTAATTATGATGCCCTTGCCGAGTTGTTATTGTTTCTGTTGTTTGTTTATGTGGTGAGGAAGAATGATAAAGCACGAAGGGTGATGCCGTGCACATTTCTATTATTCATATGGTGAGGTTGAGTGTTAAAGCACGAAGGTTGATGCTGTACATGTATCCATTATTGTTTATCTGGTGAGGCTGAGTGGTAAAGCACGAAGGGTGATGCCGTGTACGTTTCTATTATTGATTACCTGTGAGGTTGAGAGTAAAAGTACGAAGGGTGATGCCGTGCATTATTTCCTATTGCTGTATTTATTTGTTATTATCGGCTCATGGTGTTTTAGCTGTTAAACTCCTTTAGTGCTGTGATTCTTTATTTTTTTACCCCCATAGCATGTTGCCCCTTTCCGTTCATTTCTGCTTAGCTTCTATTAATTGTTATTCTGTTAGTATACTGTTTAACTGCACGTGTTTATATTATTGTCGTGTCCTAGCCTCGTCACTACTTCGCCGAGGTTAGGCTCCGCACTTACCAGTACATGGGGTCGGTTGTACTGATACTGCATTCTCCACTTTCTGTGTAGATCCCGGTTCAGGGCCATACTGATCAGAGTTTGGGTGACTGCCTTCAGTCCACGAGAGGCCCAAGGTAGATCTGCTGGCGTTCGCAGACCTTGGAGTCCCCTTCCCTCTATTTAGATTCCTATTTACATTTTATTCGAAAAACAGATGTACTTTCGTTGAAACCAGTGTTTGTAGAAAATCTTAAACGTTCGTGGATTGTAGCACCAGATTTTGGGGTAGCCTTGTATTAGAGTATTTAACCTGTTATAAAATTTTCTGCATTTCATATCTGCTTAGCTTCAAATTAATATTTATTACTGTTTAGTTATTGAATAATGTGTTAGAACTGTAATTGTTGGCTTGCCTAGCATTCACAGCGTTAAGCGCCATCACGATCCCGGCGGTGGGAAATCCTGGTTGTGACAATGAATAGCGCAAATATTGTTCATATTCATGTTTATATTTATAAATAGCGCTTTTTACGGTTGTGCGAGGCCATCCTTTATAAGTAAGATTAAAAACTTTTCTAATATAATGCACAAAGTGAGGTATAGAAGGAAAACTATAGGGTAAACACATAACAGTAACCATTTTTGCCAATTCTTCCCTATCTTTTCTTGGATCATAATATAAAATACCACCGGTAACAGTGTTAATTCCCGATTGAAATTGATTTGACCCGGTACTAGGGTCAGGCTTTAACTTTATCTTGAGGGTGTAGCATTATGTGTCTCCTCAAACTCCCCCCCCCCCCCCCCCGACCTCCAACATATATAAAAGCTAACTCTTTGCCACAAGTTTTACACTTAGCCCTATTTTTTTCTCTTATTTGAATAAAAAATGGCCAAACAAGAGATGTTTCGGCCCGTTTAGAAGGTTGTCTAGAAAAAGTAAGGGTACTAACAGGGGGTCAGACGAGGCATCATTTGGATTATCATTAGTTCGGTTAACTTCAACAACAGGACTAGTGGGTGTATCGTCATCCGGTTGCATTTCATCAAAATCTATTTCCTCCTCATTATCTTCATCAATAGTTGGATTACCATAAAGAGCATTCATATATTCATGGTCTAAGTGTTCACCACCTCCAACATTATGCAAATATTGACTCTCAGTAAATTATAATAAAGTATTATCACTATCAAGAATAGGACAGGTGGGGGGCGGGTATGGGGTTCGGGTAGGGGAGCCCGGGGAATTGGAGGAAGAAAAGATTGGTCAGTAGATTCACCACTCTTGGATTTTCCCTTATTTTTACTAAACATTATTTTTAACAAAAAATTCATCTTAATTAATCAAACAATACAAAAAAGTAAATAAAACAAAACAAACCTATAATATTAAAACTTAAGAGTTGGAACGAGTTTACCGAATTGACGAACAACTTGTTGAAAATTAATTATCGTTGAAGACATGAATACTTCAATTCACCAACTTTATAATTTTTCACACAAATTGCAACAATAAAGTAACCAATTATAGAAGAATATTAGAGAGAGATTGATAATTTTGTGAGAAAAAATGAAAGAATGAGAGGGTATCTATAGTTGAAATTAGGGAAAAAGTATAATTATATAAAGTTTGGGGTTAAAATAAATTTTGGAAAATAGCCAACGGCTAAAAATGGCCATTTTGGCAGAAAATATTTTTTTTTTAATAAAATAGCCATTGGGCCGGTTTAGGCCCACTTAGGACCGTGTAGGACTGGTTGAACCGGCTCATTTACCAGCCGGTCCCTGTCCCAAACGGTCCCGGTCTAGCGGGCCTATGTAAAAAGACCGGCCCACCTGGAAGCCCACCCCCACCGGGTCCCGGTCCTATCCGATTAGGCCCGTTTAGACCCATTACCCATTTGGACTCGCGGGCCTGGGCCAGTCCCGGGCTTAACCGGCCCACATGCCACCCTTAGTTCAAGTCTTAAGTCCAAAATTGAAGGAAGTCAAATTTACTAACTAGTGAAAAATATTTTCAATTTCTGACAACTACCATTTTCACTTGAATTTTATTTTCAAATTATTTTAGAATTTTACATTTCCTATGTCCAAATGCCCACTAAATATCAGAAAGTGTCTTATACCAAATACATCAATTTTCAACAGGATAAAGTAAGCAACGTGTAAGGATAAGTCCAAAATTGTGGAGCATTAGCCGATCATTTTGTTATTGAAATTGGGTAGAGCCCATTACAGTACAGTTCTCTTTTTCTTATTCTTTTTTAAATTTTTTTAAGCCCCAAAAATTTTACAATAAAAAAGTATTATATTGTTGGGATATCTGCATATTTGGCTTCAGGCCCAAAGTTAAAAATGTGATTCTTACAGCCTAATGTATATTTATATGTATAGCATTCTTTTGTTCAGAAAATAGAATAACTTTTTCCTTTATTTTAGATTAGTGGATTGATGTTGTAATGAACTGGATCCGGGTATTGTATATAAAGGAGGAGGCCCAACTCAAATGGGTTGACCGACCAATTTTCATTTTCATTTTCTGTTGGTCTAAGTTCTCTCTAAACAGAACATTCTCGAACTATCCCTTCTGATTTTGCTGTTAACATGGTATCAGAGCAGGGATTTCGTTAGTCCCCGTTCTTCCGCATCGTCTGATGTTACCCTTGTTCGATTTTGTGGTGTCTTTTTCTGTTCGTCAAAATTTGCGTTTTTCAATGATTTGAGAAGATTTTGAGGTGTTTCGGTGTGGATTCTCTCTTCTATATCAATGGAGTTCTTTTGATTTGGAGATTCTATGGCTTTTTTCTCGAACCTCCAAACGTGATCGAAGAACCTAAGGATTCTCTGTCAGACCTAGGGTTTATGCTGCTAAAGGCCTTTACTTCTTCAGGTCGCGAAGAAGTCTGGTATTTTCGTTCCCTAGCTGCTTGTTTTCTTCATTGTGTGAAAATATTGAATTGATCTCATTTGAACACTTAGTAGTTTGATGTCATTTGGTTGATATGGGTAGTCTCAATCCTGAACCCTCTTCTGCACCAGTTTACACATATGAACCTTCTTCCCCGTTATTTCTACTCTCTTCTAATGTACCTGGAGTTTCTCTTGTTGCGGTACCATTCTCGGGTAATGAGTTTGGAGGTTGGAAGCGTAGTATGATTGTTTCATTGTCTACTAGAAATAAGATCGATTTTATTGATGGGACCTGTGTTAAACCTCCTGAGAATTCTCCTCAGTTTAGGCAATGAGATCGTTGTAATAATATGGTTATATCGTGACTGACCAGTTCACTCTCACCAGATATAGCTGAGAATATACAGTATTTAGATACTGCTGAAAGTATATGAAAACAGCTTAATAACAGATATGGGACAGTAAATGGAACTAAGGTCTTTGAAGTAAAAAGAGAACTAACATCCACATACCAGGGATCTCTTGACATTCCTTCTTATTTCAACAAACTAAAGAAAATATGCGATGAATTGGGGGTTATACACAGTAGTCATGCCAATTCTTGTAATTGTGCTACTAAAGAAGGCTTACAAAAGGAAAGAGAAGAGGACAAAGTAAATCAGTTTCTTATGGGGTTAAATGAGGTTTGTGTGGGTGTTAGAAGCAATCTACTGATGATGCATCCCTTACCTTCTCTTGATTGTGTCTATAACATACTTCTACAAGATGAAAAACAGAGGCAAGTCAGAAAATCCTCAGTTCCATCCTGAATCTGCTTCCTTCAATGCTAATTCCAACAGTATCAAATTCACTCAACCTCAACCACGACAAAGACAATATAATCAGAGGATATCGTTTGATCAATCTAAGTCTGGCCTCTTCTGTAAGAATTGCAAGAAATTAGGGCACTTGATTGACAAGTGCTACAAACTCAATGGATTTCCTCAAAGCTTTAAATTCACCAAGAGCAGAAAGACAGCTGCAAATGTGGTAGAATCTGACTTCTCTTCTCCACAGAATGTTTTTACCAACTCTGTGTCAAATCCCACTCAAAATCAGGTTGATCAAGGATCTGTGGTACATGGGTTGAGCCAGCAGCAGTATGCTCAATTGATATCCTTGCTTCAACAAACTCATACTACTTATTCTGGACCTCCACTCAACACTTTAAGTTCTGCCAGCTTTGCTGGTACTTTACTGCCTAAGAATGTTGTGTATAGCTTTAGTTCTTCTTTGCTGAGTAAATCAGACTCCTCAACTTGGATAGTAGACTCAGGTGCATCTGACCATATGACATCTAATAAAGAATATCTCATTAACATCACACCCTTACCTATTCATTTTCTTGTTTCTCTTCCAAATGGATACAAGGTTAAAGTTACCTGTACGGGATCTTTTGCTTTAACTAAGTCCATTATCCTTCACAATGTCCTTTATCTACCTTCATTTAAGCATAATGTCATTTCTGTGCACAAAATTACTGAACCATTTGACTGCATGGTTCAGTTTACCAGAATCTCATGTATTATACAGGGCCCTTCTCTGAAGAAGCCTCTGGATCTTGGTAAACTGGACAATGACTTGTACAAGTTTGTTTGGGAACAATCATCTCAACTTCAGCAACCTTTGACAAATGTTTCAAATAGCAGCAACTTTTCATCTTTGTGTAACTCTAGTTCTTTCTCTTCTTCTTCTGTACATAAAGATTCTGCCATTTGTAATAAAGTTGCTATGAATAAAATGGATGTTGTTTGGCATAATAGACTTGCTCATGTTCCTTTTGTTAGAATGAAGAGTATATCTGAAATCTCCTCTACTATTTCTTCTAACCAGTCCTTCCCTTGTACAATTTGTCCTATGGCTAGGCAAACTAGGTTGCCATTCCCAGAAAGTTCCATTCACACTTCCAAACCCTTCCAACTCATTCATGTTGATACTTGGGGACCATATCATACTCCTAACTATTCCGGTTCTAGGTACTTCCTCACTATTGTTGATGATTTCTTCAGAAGTACTTGGACACATCTAATGGGGTCTAAGAGCAATGCATTTTCTTTGCTTAATGCTTTTGTTGCTATGGTAAAGACTCAATTTCATATTACAATACAAAACATTAGATCTGATAATGCATTAGAACTAGTTGCTGCTATTTCCTTCTTCTCTGAATGTGGGATTATTCATCAGACTAGTTGCCCCCACACCCCTTAACAAAATGGTGTGGTGGAAAGAAAATATAGGACATTACTTGAAGCCTCTAGAGCCTTACTATTTGGGTCCAAAGTTCCAATAAGATTTTGGGGGGATTGCCTATTAACAGCTACCTATATCATTAATAGACTTCCTTCCAGATTACTCAACAATAAATCTCCTTATGAATTACTGTATGGTAAAACACCAAGCTACTCTCATCTTAGAATTTTTGGGTGCCTTTGCTATGCAACTGTTCTAATTCCCCAAAGAGATAAATTTAAACCTAGAGCATTTCCCTGTATGCTCCTTGGTTATCCTTTTTCTAAAAAGGGATACAAGTTGTATAATTTGCACACTAAACAATGTTTCATTTCTAGAGATGTGGTGTTTCATGAACACCATTTTCCTTTTTCTTCTAATTTTTCTTTTCCTGTTTCTTCTGAATGCTTTTTACCAAATGCATCACAACCTTCACCTTCTGTTACTAACATTGATTCTTCTCCTGAAACTCCTGATGTTACACCACAACCACAATCTCCTCCTATTAGCCCAAATTTCACCCTTGTTACTAGTCCTGTTCATTCTGTTCACTCTCCTGATCCCATTTTACATGATCATGTTCCTGAAGTTCCCCCTTCTCCTACTTCCATCAATCCTGATATCATCCCTACCACTATACCTATCTCTTCTCCTGCTGTAACTTCTTCCTCTTCCCCACCTTTAAGGAAATTCAGTAGAGTTCCTTCTCATCCCTCGTATCTGAAGGATTATGTTTATAACCTTCCCTCATCTCTTTCTTGTTCTGTTACTCAGCATAAAGAATTTGAACCTTATACATATTCCCAGGCAGCTCCAATACCAGCCTGGCAAGATGCCATGAGGAAATAATTTGAAGCTTTAGAACTAAATAACACTTATGATATTGTTGAGTTGCCACATGGTAAAAAGCCTATTGGGTGCAAATGGGTCTATAAGATCAAGTACAAGGCTGATGGTAATGTAGAATGATATAAAGCTAGGCTTGTCATTAGAGGGGATACCCAAGTTGAGGGGGTGGACTTTAATGAAACTTTTTCTCCTGTAGTGAAAATGTCTACTGTGAAATGTCTTATTGCTGTTGCTGTTAAGAAAAAATGGTCTTTATTCCAACTTGATGTCAACAATGCATTCCTTCATGGTGATTTGGATGAAGATGTCTACATGAAGATACCTCTGGGTCTTTTTGTTTCACCTTCCAATTCTTCTACTTCTGCTCCTTTGGTTTGTAGACTTAGGAAGTCCCTTTATGGTTTAAGGAAAGCTTCAAGGCAATGGTATGCTAAATTGTCTCATGCCTTATGTTCTAGAGGTTATCATCATTCCCCCAATGATTATTCTTTATTCATAAAAGGGTCTCCTAGTTATCTAGTCATCCTGACAGTCTATATTGATGAAATAATTCTCACAGGTGATGATTTGCATGAAATTGATTCCTTGAAACATTTTCTAGACAATGAATTCATGATTAAAGATTTGGGGTCTTTGCATTATTTTTTGGGTATTGAAGTCAGCACTCTGCCTGGGAGTGTTCTCCTTAATCAAAAGAAATTCGTCGACTGATTTGCTTCATGAATATAATTGTTCTGATGTGAGTTCTGTGGTGAGTCCTTTAGAGTTGAATAATAAACTCCATGCTGATGTTGGTGATGTTCTTCCTACCCCAGAAAAGTATAGAAGTCTTATTGGTAAACTGCTGTTTCTTACACACACCAGACCCAATATTTCTTTTGGGCTTCAACACCTAAGTCAATTTTTGAAAATGCCTAGACTTCCTCATATGTCTGCTGCTTTTTGAAAATGCCTAGACTTCCTCATATGTCTGCTGCTCTTCACCTACTTAGATACCTCAAGCGTACTGCTGATATTGGGCTGTTCTATTCTGATCCCTCTGATTTGTCTGTACATGCCTACTCAGACGGTGATTGGGTTGCCTACCCAGATACACGCAAATCTATCAGTGATTACTGCATTTTCATTGGTGATAGTCTAATTGGATGGAAGTCTAAGAAGCAACCAGTGGTTTCTTTGTCTTCGGCTGAAGCAGAATATCGTGCTATGAGCAAAGTCGTGGCTGAATTAACTTGTTATCCAGATTATTGCATGATATTTATGTTCCTGTTTCATCTCCTATTCCTGTTTTTTGTGACAATTTGGCAGCCATTCATATTGCCAAGAATCCTGTATTTCACGAGCGTACTAAACACATCGAGGTGGATTGTCATTTCATTCGGAATAAGTTGCTTGAAGGATTGATTCAGCTTCAACACGTTCCCACTGATCAACAACTTGATGATGTGTTTACCAAGCCTTTACCTGGTGCTCTTCATCATTCTTTCCTGGGCAAGTTGAAGGTGCTATCCCCTTCAACTTGAACGGAGGTGTTGGGCTATCTGCATATTTGGCTTCAGGCCCAAAGTTGAAAATGTGACACTTACAAGCCCAATGTATATTTATACGTATAGCATTCTTTTGTTCAGAAAATAGAATAGCTTCTCCCTTTATTTTAGCTTAGTCGACTGATGTTGTAATGAACTGGATCCGAATATTGTATATAAAGGAGGAGGCCCAACTAAAATGGGTTGACCGACCTATTTTCATTTTCATTTTCTGTTGGTCTGAGTTCTCTCTAAAGAGAACATTCTCGAACCCTATCCTCCATTGATGAAAACCTTCATCCCTTCTGATTTTGCTGGTTAACATATATAGACATTGAAATTTCAAAAAATAATTTTGAATTATCTCTCTCTTTTTCTCCTTTAGTTTTATTTTGAATTTCAAAGCGTCATTTTTGTACAATTTCTATTTTATTTATGTACAATTTCTAGTAAATTTATGTAAAAAATTTTAGTTTATTTTTACGTCAGTGTTACGGATGTAGTTGCTTTATTATCTTCGGATAGGATGTAATATGTAAGATAGTCGAATCTAAGATTTCAAATTTACGGTTAGTATGTCATAACTCAAATATGTAGAGTTCGTGATTAGCATTCTACCCATTTTCACAATAGCATGGTTCAAGTGTCGGAACTTAAATATGCTTGAGGAGGTTTGATCGTGTTACATTAAATTAAATTATTCTTTTATTAATTTTCTTTTTTGTTTTTTGATAATTTATAGTTAAGTCGCTACTAACTTTTCCGGATCCTATATGAACGCGAGATGCCTTGTGCACCGGCCTACCCTTTTTTTGACTATTAATTACTATGCGAATATTCACAGTAGATTATTAGATGTACTAATGATTTAAGTATGAGTTTTACATGTGAATTAAAGAGTCAAATGAGGCAAGTCAAAATTTGAAAATACATTAAAGAATTTTAAAGGTTTTTTTTTCACTTTTAGCCAAAGTCAGAAACTATACAATTTGTATAGTTTTTTGTATATATAATACACACTTGAAGGTCGTATATACAATGTCATTTTCCCAATTTTGAAACTGAAATACACACTTGAAGGTCGTATATAGAAGTAGAACTTATACGAATAATAAAAGGAGGTATTAAGAGGGTGTTTGGCTAAGCTTATAAGCTGGTCAAATTGGCTTATAAGCATTTTTTGGCTTATCTACGCGTTTGGTAAAATTAAAAATGCTTATAAGTTAAGTGCTTATAAGCCAAAAATAAGCCAAAAGCCATAAGTTGGTCTCCCCCAGCTTATCAAATTTCAGCTTATAAGCACTTTAGGTTTGACCAAAATATTTACTATTCTATCCCAAAAATACTTCTTTTTAAAACAAAACTCTTTGTATACCCAATTTTTTAGCTGCTTATTATTAATTTCAACACTTTTATCCAAACACGTAATTGCTTATTTTTTAAATCAGCTTCAGCACTTAAAAGTGCTTTTCAGCACCTATGCTTATCAGCTACTCTAAACCAGCTAAGCCAAACGGGCTCTAATTGGGCCAATTATCTTACATAGGGATGAATCATGTCATTATTCCTATTTTCATTTTTATGGACTTGTTTTGCTATTAAGTGAAAATAGCACGGGCTAGCCAGTTTACATATTGGTAATTGAAAAATAGTAGCGTTTGCAAAGTCATTAAAAATAGCCACCATTTTGCTGCAACACGAAAAGTTTCAGCATAATATACTAGAGATTGGTACACCTGTGTATGAACTTCCAGCATATTATGCTAGAACTTCAAACACGGAAAGTTCCAGCATAATATACTGGAAATTGGAGCACATGTGTATGAATTCCAGCATACCAGTATATTATGCTGGAACTCCAGTATATTATGCTGGAAGTCCAGTATATTATGCTAGAATATTTTTCGGAATTTGAACAGTGTTTTCGTTCAATTTTATCTTTAAATGAAAAGTGACCAAAATTTCGATTAATTTTAAAATTGTGACTATTTTTCAATTACTACTTATGAATCTGGCTATTTTCGAATTTCGGTATCGGGCATTTGCACAAATGGCCTTTTATGAGGCTACAATTTAAATTTTGTATGTGTTCGTCCGATGGATTAAATTTATCTGTAAAAAGGAAAACTCATCCAACTAATTTTAAAATGAAATTCCACTTATGCAAGTTAAATGTGTCATCAAAACCCAAATAACAAAATTTCTAACATGTGATAAATTAATTAAGGTATTCAATACTACTACTCCATTACTTAATAATGTCTATAGCTGTATCTATTGTTCTGGTTCACTTAATAAATTTGAAGTGTGTTGGAAATTAAACCAATAATGATATCAGAAAAACAGATTAATTAATGGCCATTAATCTAAAAAAATAAAGAGAGCATGAGGAAGAAGGAAAGGAAGTAGAGTGGGAGAAAGAGATCAATGTTGATGAGGAAGAAGAAAACGTTTAGGTTCTGATAACTTAAAATTACATTGTACACGCGTCTTTATGGGAAGGAACAAAAAGAGCATACCAATTTACTCATAAAGTAGATAATATTTACAGAATTACCCTTCGTAGTACCAAGACCTTCACTAGTGAAAGTAGTGAAGGGAAGTTTTTTGGGCAAAATATTTAATTGACCGGTTAGTCGAAAGTAATTTCTTTCGCTAGCCAAAAAAGGAGTATACATATATGTATATAGTACATATATATACCAAAAATACATATTTTGTTGGCTATTATTTTTAAGTGGTTACAATATTTCTCTTTTTTTCTTTCGAGTGAAAATAGCACACACTAGCCAATTTTCGAACTGGTAATTGAAAAATTGCCAGCATTTGCAAAGTCATTAAAAAATAGCCACTGTTTTAGCTGAAACACGGAAAGTTCTAGCATAATATGCTGGATTTTGGAGCTCATGCGTATAAACTTCCAGCATATCATGTTGGAACTCCAGCACACTGAAAGTTCTAGAATAATATGCTGAATTATGGAGCTCTTTTATATAAACTTTTATCATATTATGTTGGAACTCCAATACATTATGAAATTCCAGCACATTATGCTGGAATTTTTCCGAATTTTTGAATGTGTTTTTATTCAGATTTTATCTTTACATAAAAACGTGGCTAAATTTCGATTACTATTAAAATTGTGGCTATTTTTTAATTACTAGTTATAAATATGGCTATTTCTGATTTTTTTTCTCCCATATTTTTGGGGAGAAATTCAAAAATAGCTAAATTTACAAGTGGTCATTCAAAAACTTTCACAGTTTCAAAAGTAATCGAAATTAGTCACTTTTCATGTAAAGATAAATCTGAACGAAAACACTGTTCAAAATCCAGAAAATACTCCAGCATAATATACTGGAATTCCAATACAATATACTGGACTTCCAGCATATTATCCTGGAGTTCCAGTATAACATATCGGTCCAGCATAATATGTTGGAAGTTCATACACAGGTGCACCGATCTCCAGTATATTATATTAGAACTTTTCGTGTTGCAGCAAAATAGTGACTATTTTTCAATGACTTTACAAACGCTAGCTATTTTTGAATTATCAATCCAAAAACTGACTAGTCCATACTATTTTTACATGTTTTTGTCCTTAAAAGGTTGTTTGGGCTTCAAGAGAAACCGTGGGCTAATTGAAAAGTTGGAGTTTGTTCTCAGATACTTAATTGCAACAATGCAAGAGCAGAGATCCTGATCCTCTTCACTATCTCCGAAAACCAAGAAAATTGGAACAAGAAATGATAAGAAAATATAAAATTTCGGGCACTCCCTTTCCTTCAATTAGATGAACAAATTTTTACCTCCTATAGCAAAGGTTGATACCTTATTTATTTTAAATAAACACCCTTTTAAAAAATTATATTCCATAGCTACCTTTTGATTTTTATAGCCAAATATCTATTTATGGTTACCTCCTACTCTTAAGCCATAAAATACTCTTTGTATTATTTTTTCTCTCATTCTTCACATTTTTCTCCACCCTCTCTCTCAACGTCAGTCTTTCTCCATGAATACAACTACTATTCTTCACTAATTCATCTCTATTGTCTCGCAAAATTTTCATTGTCAGTGGAATACTACTTCCTGATCGATTCAGTTTTGGATTTTGTTGGAGTTCTAATAGTTTGGTTCAGAATGTTTCTTCGTACTTTTTGTTCGGAATCCAGTGTCCTCTGGCTTGGTATCTGGACAATAATTGAATTATTAGCTATCGAACTTTTGATAGATGATACACTTGTGTTGCCTGTGTCTCGAATAAGTGGAGGTTTTTTCTTATGGTCCCAAATTGACAAGGTAAATTGGCTTTTTGACTTCTCAATCTGGACATGGCCACTGCAATTCTTGCCTCTCACCACCTCCATTGTTGTTTTCCTTCATCTACCAAATTTGCAATTACTAACAAAAGAAGACAGTCTGCTATTTAAAATAAGGAATTTCTTTCGTTTTTGCGCCAAATTTTGAGAGTTTCGAGTCAGAATTGTGGCCCTCTTGACGAGCCGACATTAGGGTTGTTCTTGAACAAAGACGACGGAGTTTGGGGCTGAGCAACTTGAAAAGTCTGTTACCTTTTTTTTCATTGTATTTCAATATATCTCGCTGTATTCTATGTATTTCATTGTATTCATTGTCTTTTTTTTTCTTCATTATATTTCAATGTATCCCGCTGTATTCCATGTATTTTATTGTATTCACTGTCTCGCTATATTCCATGAATGTATTCATATGTTTTTTTTAATTAATATATTTTATGTATTCAGATATAAATATATATATATATATATATATATATATATATATATATATATATATATACACACATATATATATATGTAAATGTATCTACAGTATGTATTCATATGTTTTTGCACTATAGATGATCCGCTATACTTCATGTGTTCAATGTACTTTTATGTATTTAACTGTATTCAATGTAATTATATAATTTCTCTGAAGATTGCTATAGTTTTGGGGTATTTTTAGATTGA